ACGCTATCCCACTACTGCTTACCGCGGGGACTCTTGGCTGCTGGTTTTCACCCCTGGCCCGGTACACCCCTCCTTAGCCAACCTGAATGCCTCGGACTCCTCCATGGCACCCATATTGACGGCAAGCTTAGTGCGGACGTTCCGTCAACATGAGGAAATCCACCACACAGAACCCCCAGCCTCAGACCATTCCACAATCTGACCTCGCAGAAGCACGATTACAGAAGATGCCAACCTTCCAGTCGAGTAGCGATGAACTGAAACGTTAATATAAGCTGCACAAGCAAGCACATATAATGAACACACATACATACGAGCATTGACTCACGGTGAGTGGTATTCACATTGACTGTTGTTAAATATAGCCACACACATAAGAGGCGAAGCAACGACTAGGGGATATTTTTAGTTAAACGTAAAGGTGAACCAAATGTATTGTGACGTAGGGTAACATAACCTAACCACTTGTGTTCAAAATAATACCATTTGTGAAATGTGAAATAATGATTTTAATAAAGAAAATTAATTTCTTCTTATTTGGTATTCGAATAAATTATAATAGTTGTAACTCTATACCCCTATTTGAATTAATAAAAACAATTTAAAAAAATAGAAAACAAAAAAGTGAACTGCGCCCAACGTGGGGCTCGAACCCACGACCCTGAGATTAAGAGTCTCATGCTCTACCGACTGAGCTAGCCGGGCTATATGAATGTAGGGCGTTCAATGGTGTTCCTGGATAGGGGCAAACACACATTCTAATATGAATCAAAATCTATAGAAATTTTGGTAAATGTTCGAATTAAAAAAAAAAACTGTAAGTTGGAAAAAACAATATAACTTACCTGGCACATACTACACCAACAGCAAGACAATTTGTGATCATATAATTTTTCTTTAGTCTTTCAAAATCCTGAAAATAAACAAAATTTTTTGTTTCATTACTTAAGACAAATTCTGAAAAAAATATTATTTCAACTCAACTGTTACAAATATGTATACTTTAAACCACATGTTGGGGAAGGTACATGAAGAAGAGTACCAGTTAAGCCCCATATTCGGACTTGACCTAGGCTTGGTAAAGATAATAGGTTGTGCAAAGTTTGGTTCAAATCGCTCATTCCATTCGGCAGATCTTGAATTTTTAAATATTGAAAATGTTGACTCCTTTGTGGAAGATACTCTGTTTGTTTCATATAAGATTTAATAATTTTAAAACTGTTGATCGTTTATGGGGTGGGGGAAGTAATAGAAGGAACGGACCAATAAGTCTCTCAACAATATACAGGCATGATTAAAATAGTAGGATGTGCAAAGTTTGGTTTGAATCGGATATGATATTATGAATGATTTTTCAGCACAATTTCTACCAGAAGGAGTTTACGGATTTTTCGTATTTTCAGGTTTGAAAGAAATTTAAGATGTGCAAAATGTTGACATATGCTTGGCCATTGGGCCATTCCATTCGATTAATATTGGATTTATAAATAGTGACCCTTTGTGTGGGTGGTACCAGAAGGATAGGACCGCATATTCCTCATCATCGATGCGGAATCGGTTAAACCCTTCGAAAGTTCTCGTGACACCAGCCGCTAAGACAGACCGACATTTGTAAATCAACTCCAAATTGGTCCAAAGAAACATGGGGCCCAAAATCGATATTTCGAGGTGCCAAATTTCTTCAGCATCAAAGTGTATATACCCATAAGGCTAAGGGTATAAAGTGTCCAAACTCCCCAACAGTCCGTATAATAACGTTATATGGGGGCTATCCTAAAAAGTGGACCTATATCGATCATTTTCGGAAGGGAGATTTAACTCGATGTACAATAATTATTGTCAATTCATTTCAAAAACGTGCCAAAAATTCCCAAAACACCGAATATTTGGCTGTGGGGAGTTTTTGAAAACTTCTGTTGTTATTGATGAATGTATTATGGACAGAAGACCCACTATTGAGTAATATCTTTAAATAAATACAATTAATTTGTAGAAATAATTCATAGAATAAACTTACCGACGATTGAGATTCTTTTATGTTTTACATGTCAAATTTCAGAGATGGTCCGTATGGAAGGAGATTTGAGCATTGGATTCCTGATTGCACTTATTCAAAGGACACAAAGCAAACTGGTACATTAATATAAAATATTTGCATGAAACGACGACCTTGATTTAGAATGGCCTCCATTGTATTAGGGCCATTTGGAAGTTGTTTAATTGATTACAGCCCTCTGTTACAGAGGATTATAGAATTTTAATTGGTAGATCTGAAAACTGAGGTTATTCTTTTTATAGTAAGTACATTAAATTGAATAAAGTCTATTTGTTAATATAATTTTTAAGAATAAACTTACCCGACGACCACACTTTTAACAAGACTTTAAGAAAACGTATGAAATGTCCAAAGGCAATTCTTTCGTAACAGGTCCAAGTAGTGCTTGTGTAATTTGAAATAGGTTTCATTGAATTTAACCACCGGTTACAGAGGAATTGAACTTTTGCCATTGGGAAGTGGTTTAACTGTTTGCTGCCTTCTGTAACAGAGGAGTTGATGGATGAATTTTAATCGATAGACCTGATCTAAAAACTGATATTATTATTCTTAATGTAAGTTTTTTTTAATTCCGCAGAATAAACTTACCCGACGATCAGCAATAAGGCCTACTACTATTTTAAATGAAGGCAATCCTTTCGTAAACGTTCCAAGTAGTGCTTGTTTAATTTGAAATTTGTTTCATAAAATGTAACCCCTCGATTACACATGGGATTGATGATTGAATTTCGAACAGTAGGTCCGACAAGAATTTTCAGGCTTTCTTACTGTTGACATAAGCTCAAATATTTACATGAAATGACCCTTCTTTCGGCATAGTATCAATTGGACTTGCGCCATTTGGAGAAGGTTTAACGAATTGCAGCCATCTGTTATAGAGGTGTTGATGGAAGATTTTTAATCGGTACACTTCACCTGAAAATCAATATAATTGTTATTGTACCTTCTTTAAATAGAATAATAATTTTTTGCATATAATTCCGAAGAATAAACTTACCCGACGATCAGCGACCAGGTCTTTAACAAGAAATATTACGCCTTTAAGAAGACTAGTAACAAATTTTAAGTGTCCACACTGTTAAAAACCTTTAAGGGGACCCCCCCATTCTCGGGGTCAAAATTTTTGTTGATATAATTCGAATCTACACTGATTAAAGAATGTCTCTACAAAATTTCAAGTGAAAATCTCAAGAACTCTTGAAGATATAGCCGATTTATTGTGTCAGCATCAAGTGACGGCTGAAGGGCTTCTCAAACTTTAAACGCGTTTTTCTTTAAACATTTTTTGCGAATGGCGGGCACGATAACCCAAAAACTAATAATCCAATCGGTTCCAAATTTTGCAACGTTTCTCTGGGAGTGTATAGCTCTCGTATGAACTAGGATAAAGCCAATCGCTGAAGTTCTTCCTTATTTTTTAACTTGGTTTTTGGTAAAAAATCGGCGATTTTCCAAAAATATTTTTTCAAAGGTCCACCATTTTGTTAATTTTAGAGGGAAGTCAATAATCCTAGTTCATACGAGAGCCAGACATGTACTCTTTCTAACACCGTTGGAAAGAGTACATTCCGATGTTCCAGTGAGGAGTTATCATGCCCGCCATAAAAAATAAGGAGTTTTCTTTAATTACAAAAAACAACAACAAACCAATAATAAAAAATTTTTGTAAATTATTTTTCTTCTCTTTTAAATCTTCAATTATATATGTGCAAAGTTACAAACCTTAACAAACATTGGTATTGATTTACCAGCCCATTGAAAATCTTGAAAAATTAAAATCGAGAATGGGAGGGGTTCCCTTAATTTGATTCTTAAGTTGCTCTTAAAAAAGTACTCGATATAAGCTTTAAACTAATACCCATATTGCCTTGGAGACTCTTTAAACAAAATATGTTCCGAAATTTCAAGACCTATATCTCGGGAAGTATATATTTCCTTCACATAAAATGTATATCACTGTATTAAGCTCAAGGAGATCTACCTACGGTAAACTTGTTACTTATTCCCAATCAGGTATCTCGCCGTTTTTAAATGACTAATTTCGGCGGACACAGCAACTTGCGACCGGGAATTAAACTTGACAAAAGCCTATGTATGAAACGACCCTGATTTCGAGTTGATGAATGATGAAATTTAACCGGAGGATCTGAAAATGTTTTTGTTATTGTACGTTCTTAAAATTGAATAACATTATTTGCATATAATTCTCAGAAAAGAAAACTTACCGGGCGGTCAAAAATTTCCAAGCTTTTTCATCTCTACTTTCGGAGCACAAATGTTCTTATGGCTGCCATTTGCCACGCATTTTACTTTTTTTATTACAATAATACATACAACAACTGAATAAACATAAATCACGTTATATTTTAATAATTTAATTTATAAATATCAATAATTTTATTGTTTTATTCACTTTTTTCTTTAATAAATTTGCAAACAAATTTCACCGTTTAACCTAACGGTTTGCTCAGGTCTTGACAATCATGCTTTTTATTGCAATGTTGTCAGTACTGCTTTGTGAAAGAGAAGGAGCGAGAGAGAGAGAGAGCATTGACAATCATCTGTTGTACAAATGTCGACCTAACTCTCCCTGTCACATACAACCCCATTGAAGAGCTCCAAACACAAGCAGTAAAATAACAAGAACGGTTGCTGTTGGAAACGTTCAGAGACGGAAGAAAAAAAAGCAAACGAAACGCGAAAAGAACAAAAACAAAAATAATAAGCAAAAACACCAAAAAATTAACATAAAAATTTGCATAGTTTTTTGTATTAAATAATAATAAAAATAAAACGGTGTTTTGAAGAGCGAAAGTGATTTGTCAAGTGGTGGTACTAACAACAAAAACAACAACAGTTTATTAACAATAATAACAACAAAGAAAACCACACAAATCAGTGACGAAACAAAAGAGATAATACACTGTGTTTGTCTGTCAGTGAAATAGATAATAATAAAGAAATAATAAAAAAAAGAAGAGTGAAATAATTAAAAAAAAAACGCAAAAATGTGCGGTGGATTTACGTGTTCAAAGAATGCATTAATTGCCTTAAATATTTTATATGTGGTAAGTGGGATATGGCAGACATACAGACAGAAATGTCAAACAATTTATGGTTACAAAGCTAAGCTACTGAGCCCTTGGCAAGGGCGCATAAACCACAACAACAACAAAAGAAAAAAAATGAAGCCGTAAACAAAAAACGGCGACGAACGCGAACAGACAAAACTGCTGACTGATTACAATCAGAAAATTTAGCAGAGCGTAAAGAAAACTGTTATACATAATAACTTAAAAAATTGTTGTTGAGTATTTTTTTCCCGATTTGGAGCTACTTGACCCTATAAGGTTACAACAAGTCAAATATCAAGTCTCCAATCACACAACTTTGTGGAGCAAGAAGAGTAGTTAGTTGAGGAGGAGGAGGGTGCCAAACAAAAAACTCATATTTCATATTTAGCTGATTTTTTTTTTGAAAAGTCATGAGGATTTTTGTTTCTCATTATACATACAAGGCAGCGCACAGCACATTTGGGACCTGACGGCCATATGCAGTGCCATATATCCTTATTCATTTGGTTCCCAATATCCTCCTCTTCACATCCTGCACAATGCTCTAATTTGCCCTTTCGAAACAAAGAAAATTGTCTCACCAGGGGTTTCTTTAAGCTTTTTTTACCCTTTGTTCCAGATCTCTTACCTTTCTTCCCCTCCCCTGTGTTCCTCGTTTTCTGCTTTCCTCAGAAATCCTTTAAAATATCGATTTCGTTTTGCTTTATTTGTTTTAGCATTCTCATCATCAACAGCATGGATGGCAGCAAGACAGTCAAAAACAAATCATCCCTCCTCTGGCATTTTGTTTTTCCTCATAAGAGCTTCTTTTTTTAATGTATTACACATTTTTTTCCAATCACTTGCCCGCTTACTTTGTAATCACACAGACAGACAGTCAGTCAGTGAAGCAAGCAGCCAGCCGAAGTCTCCTCAGACCATTTCTCTTAGTCTGGCTATCAGCAAAAGGCAACAATGTGTTGTTATTGTTGCTGTGTTGCCTGACTTCTGGCTGGTTAGGCTGTGTGTTTTCTGTTGTTTGTGACGGCGGCATTGCTGCTTTGTTTCCTGGTACGAGGGTGGTTCTTACATGAGAGAGAGAGGTAAAAGTCAAAGCTCCAGAATGGTATGGAGACCACCACAAATATGCGGGTGGAACATCGGAACAACTCTAGTTTAGTAAAAACGATATTTTGGTCCACAACAGATACAGCCACATATCGCACCATTTTGGAAAGAGCAATTTGTGGTCTATCATTTGAGTCATGGTTGGGGAGAGAATATTATGGACCCAAGTTCGACTTTTAGGGAGTTTTTCAAAAAAAAATCTCCAAAACGGTTTGAGATAACCCCACCATAATTAGGGTAAAAATACATACCTCTGGAAAAAATTTCAGAAAAATCTGATCGTTTTTACTAAACTAAAGTTAAGCCGGAAAATCCTTAGCTATATCCTTAGTTGAACTTAGACACGGTCTGTGCGTCAGTAGGCCAGGACTGGACAGTGACACAGGAGATGCTCAATTGTCTCCTCCTCCTCAACACAGAGTCTGCAGTAATCAGTAATCATTATCCCATTTACTTGTAATGGTCCTGATATTGCAGTAACCAGTAAGGACTCCTGTCATTACTCTAATTTCAGCTTTGCTCAGGTTCATCAGTGAGTTTGTTCTCTTGGTTGACAGAGTCAGCCAAAAAGATCTTGACAAATTGCACCTAGGTTCGTTGTACCAGAGTTCATTGGCTCGTTCGTCGAAGAACGCCTCAAAGTTCCGAAAAAGATGACAGATGGGTGGTTTGATTGAGTCATCAATTGCTAGATCTGCAGATTGAGATTCTCGTCTAGCTAATTCGTCTGCCTCTTCATTACCCATGACGTAACGGTGTCCTGGTACCTAACACAGCCGATAGCTCTAAGTGTTTCCAAAACTGTTCTACACTCGAGGACAACCTCAGATTTGATATTACAGGATTTGATGCCTTTAAGAGCCGTTCAACGAGATCTGCATCCAGACTTTTTTATCAATTCCGGTGTTTTCCAAATAGCAAAGATTTCAGCTTGGAAAACATACAGTTGCTATCCACTACATGTGTAGGTAAGCTCAAGGCCTAGCTTTCACAGTAGACTCCAGACCCTGCACCTTCTTCCATCTTAGACCCGTCTGTTTAAATTGCCAGACCGTCCAGAGGAGAGTTGCTACGGCTCCAGTCGTATCTACTAGGGATAATGGCATCTACATCGTCAAATCTCAGGACTGGTGATATATAGACGCTTAGTTTTACGCGTTGGTCCAATGTTATACCTAGTTCGTTCAGGAAACATCCATGCCTGTAGGTACAATTTCGTCATAGATTTTGCAGGCAGGCTTAGGGAACTACGCGCTGCCTGACAATGCTGATACCCAGAGACCTTCAGTTCAGCATTGCATTCAGAGCTGCTTGTGGGGTGCTCCTAGCGGCTCCAGTTATTAGAATCGAAAGGATGGGCTTTACCACTGTGTTATACAACCAGTGTATAGTCGATGGCCCCCAGCTTTTCCCAATGGAGTTCTTGAATGCATAGATTCCTGTTACATCGTAATTGGCAGTTTAGGATTGTACCTAGGTATTTTGCTTCGGGCGACTGATGAAGCAGCACTACACACAGTGTTGACCTTAATAGAAGTCCTATCGGCAGTATAGGATTGTACCTAGGTATTATCCGTCTTGTATGTCCCTTTTCCAGGTGTTTTTTTTATAAAGAATACATTTCATTAGATATCTGTTTCTCTATTCAATCAATGACCAGTTGTTTCTTTTACATGACTCTTCCCTCACCTCCTCCTTCTTCTCTCTGTCACATGTGTATTGTGTCTCATTTTGGACGCTTAGTCATCTCTGTTATTGTTTTTTATTTTCTAATCAAACACAGAGCCTACATTTGAGTTTTATTTACCCCAACCCAGAAAAACATAAGCTCGTCATCCGACGGCAATTGATGTTTGACCTTAAATGGTGGGATTTATTTTTTGTACGTTGATTGTCTAGCAATTATGTGACCAGAGACAGGCATTCCAAAACACACACAAAGAGGTAAATGATCTGATCAACAAAAAGTGATAGTTCCGAGTCGTATTTTTTATTTTACTTCCAGTTATCGTTTGTTATTGTTTTCTTATAGGAATTTGTTTGATTTTTAAATAAAAACACGACTACCTGCCGGCAGCGTACTAAAACGATTATCGTCTTAGGAAGAAGCTTAAAATATTACTACAATTGGTACCATATTTTGGTGTACTAAAGTTCAATGGGACTATTAAAGTATTTAGAAAATATTACGAACCCCAAATCGATTGTATTTAGTTCACAGCTGTTGTAATAAATTTCCATTTGTGATTCGAACGTTTTGTGTGGCCATGCACTACGGGGATGGGTAAATTTTGGAAAGCTATTTCGTTTTGATTATCAATGGACCCTAACATGAAAAAAATAATCAAATCTTTTGCGTCTTCAGCGTGTTTAGTTATGAAAATGTGTGAATTATCACAGTTCGTTTTAAATAAATACAATTAATGAATGTATATTAGGGTGCTTCAGAACGCAAAAGTAGTTGGTGGTTTAATATATGCCAATTATTTTGAAAAAAAAAAAAAAAATAATAATAATATATAAATAAAAACGTTATACATTCCAAATGCCTTTTCACCTCGAAGAAACTCGTCAGCTATTTCATTCCCTTTAATATCGCACAATTGTATCTGCATTAAAAAAACGGCCCCTGAATTTATAGTCTGCTATTATATTTTGCCGCTGCAAAAGGCGCCAAAATATAAAGAGCAGAGCTTCGATATAATTTTCCGAAATCTTGCCGCTTTATTAACACCTTCTAGTGACTCAAAAAACATTTCAAGATTTCGATGGAACTGATGCGGTTGGTTGTTGTTATAGCAGTCATATTGCTTTTATACAATGGACTAAGGTGACAGACGTTTTCCGAGAAAGACTCGGGTCGTTTCGGATCGTAGATCCCTCTGTCATGGAAACGGACGCATTTGGTTGTTGTTGTAACACGTTGGCTGTTGATGAAAGTTCTTTCCTGAAAATGTTGATAGAAAAAAAAAACGGAAGAAGGAAAATATATTAATTATTAGGAAATCGAATTTGAAGAGGGTAGCCGGCGAAATTGTGCCACCTCTATTGGCTTTAGTCATAAATCTATAGGCAATATACTTGTAGGCTCGAACGGACAATTGAATAGATGGTGTGTGTCGTGAGGACTTTGCTGGAATGAGGGGCACCTGTTTAGGGTTCCGGGGACAATACGCTCTCGATACGAGTTGGGAACATTGCAAGGAAAAATCCTCTCACTCTCCGAAATTGCAGGAGGATGTTGTTGTAGGATTTTATTGAATCTGTAGCCATTTATGGCTGCGTAGACCACCAGTTGATGTATTGGATGCCATCACTGTGTATGGTTGAGATGACACGGCAGATATCATGCGAGCAGGAACTTTCTAGTTGATGTAATTGTAATGCGAGGAGAAATGAAGGATGTTGTCGAAGACCACGCCAAGGCTTTTTGGATTATGGACGGTGGGGATGCGCCTACCTTCAACGGAAATGTGAAGTTCTAAATTGACTTCTCGCGTCCAGGAAGTGAAAAGTGACACAGTAAACTTTGTAGTGGATAATTTTAGATTGCGCTCCCGCACGTACGTCGTCAATGTTAACGCCGGACGAAAGATACATGTTGAACAAAAAACCGCCTTGCGGTACTCCCATTTTGATCTTGCGATATTTGGATTTTTGGCCACGGAACTCAACGAAGGCCTGCCGCCCATTAAGGTAGTTGACAAGCCAACGCTTAATATCACTCGGAAGGGTGGAATTTGTGATGTCGGATATCAGCTCGGAATGATCGACCGTATCAAACGCCTTGGACAGATCTAAAGCATACAGAATGGTCCGTTCAGGTGGTCATCGCTGATTGAGGCCATTCACAATCTTGGAAGTAATTTCTTGCAAAGTCGTCGTTGTGTTATATGATTTCCTGAAACCGTGTTGGTGGGTTGCACGAACGAAATGCTATTTCAGGGACGGAAGCAGTAGATACTCTAAAACCTTGGCTACTGGTGACAGAAGAGAAATCGGTCTGTAGGATTCCCCATTAGTAGCGGATTTATAAGGTTTTAGAATTGGAATAATCCGGGCAACTTTCCAAATGTGAGGAATTACCAACTGTGACATCGATAACTCGAGAACTTTGGTCAGATAGCCCAGACCTATTGCTCCAAGCTTCTTTAACATGAACATGGATATGTCGTCTAGACCAAGGGCTTTGCTTGGCTTGGATTTGGAGATAATTGCCTCTACCTCGCTGGAGGTAAATGATAGTGGTCGCAAGTATCTTTTAAGATTCTTGGATCTCCGGATAACTGTCTCGAGGTATAGCTATACGCCGTGAAGATGGAACCTCCATCCTCGCCATTCTCATCCTCGGCTCCATAGAAAGTTTTTTGGAGAACTCGGCAAATTTAATTAAAATTAAATTTTATTAAAATTTTATTTAAAAAATCCAAGCCTAGAGCCTGTGGAAGCCTCTTAGGGGAAAATTCGATTTAAAAAATTCACGCCTAGAGCCTGTGGAAGCCTCTTAGGGGAAAATTCGATTTAAAAGATTCACGCCTAGAGCCTATGGAAGCTTCTGAGGTAAAATTCTATTTAAAAATCAATTTAAAAAATCACGTCTAGAGCCTGTGGAAGCCTCTGAGGAAAAATTCTATTTAAAAATCAATTTAAAAAATCCACGTCTAGAGCCTGTGGAAGCCTCTTCGGTAAAATTCTATTTAAAAATCAATTTAAAAAATCCACGTCTAGAGCCTGTGGAAGCCTCTGAGGTAAAATTCTATTTAAAAAATCCACGCCTAGAGCCTTTGGAAGCCTTTAAGGTAAAATTGTATTTACAAAATTCACGCCTAGAGCCTGTGGAAGTCTCTGAGGTAAAATTCCATTTAAAAAATCCACGCCTCCGATCCACCATACTTAGAGCTTGCTGATGATCACTGCCAGGGGATGGCAGCTTGTTCCTCCTCTGGTAGACCTCTTCAGCAGCGCCTGTGAAAATTTCTTCTACAAAACAGAAATAAACTAAAATAATAAACTTTTCTCCTATTTATACAAGAAATCTCTTAGGGCTCAATGCTCTGATTTTTACCCTTATAAAGAAAATCATTTTTTTCCAAGAAATTCCATTCAAGTGCAAAGTAATTCATCTTTTTTGTGGTGTGTATATTGCCGGAAATGTCTATTCCAAAAAAATATGATTTACATCGAAATTGATTAGCCAAATGTGAATTAATCCCCCATGGTGTTGTTGCTGTTATTTATTCGCTTTTAGGCAATTCATGGTGTGTTGCAAATTTTGTTTGCACTTCTAGTGTAATCAATGCGGGAATTAATAAGCAAAACGAAACAAAAAACACACCTGAGTCAGAGACTACATCATCTACCCATCCACCTACTCTCGCAATGAAACGTATTAAACATGCTGTGCATGCAACACATCTTAGATAAACTTTTAGATAGACTTTTTTTCTTATTTTTTCTTTTTATTTATTTTTTTCTGCTTCATATATTGATTAATAATGCTTTTGTTTTCTCTTCTTCTTCATTTTCTTCTAGATGGTGGGCTTCCTACTGATTGGTGTCGGTGTCTATGCCCGTGCCGCATCAATTGTTACAAATCTACCCATTGTTGGCGGTATACTGGCATGCGGCATAATCTTGATATTAATATCGATATTGGGTCTAGCTGGTGCTGTTAAACATCATCAAGTTATGCTGTTCTTTGTATCCTTTTTAAAACAAAACAACAACAACAACAACAAAAAAAAATTGAAAATACTAACAACATTGAAACCATGTTGAAGACCAAATCAATATATCGTATAATCAACAAGACAATAGAGGCAGATACACTTATGTCCAAGCTGAACAATGTGCTGCTAAGTTAAGAGCACATAAATGCACGAACAATCACTGCAGTGTATATTTGTTTAAAGATAAGATACCTGCATCAATTTATGTAGGCTCAAAATGATTCATTCTGGGGAGATAAGATAAAATTCTATCTTCTGAGATAAAATTCTATTTAAAAGGAGTGGATTTTTTAAAATAGAATTTTATCACAGGATCTAAGCGAGAACTTTTTAAATAGAATTTTACCTCACAGGCTTCCACAGGCTATAGACGTGGATTTTTAAATAGAAATTACCCTCAGATACTTCCACAGGGTCTAGTCGTGGAATTTTTTAAATTGAATTTTCTTTCGGAGCCATCCACAGGCTGTATGCGTATATTTTTTAAATTAAATTTTCTCTCAGAGGCTTCCACAGGCTATAGGCGTATATTTTTTAAATACAATTTCCCCTCAGAGGCTAGTAGTGTGTTAGTTTCTTGAAATGTGAAAATTTTCAATATGTACAGGTCGAAGACCCCGATCTATGCAGCAAAAATATATTGACGTGTCATTTACAGGAATTGTTCCGGATTGGGCCGGTAGCGATACTACATCGAAAGAGATTACGTTGCCATATTCTTCGTCGAAGTACAGAACCCTCAACACAGTCTCCTCAAACCCTAACGTAGTCTCCTCTTAAAACGTTGATGGTCCTACTCCTGATAGTGCATCGTTTCTGCAATTTAATTGCAACAGCCTTCAAGGAATAATATACGATATAGTGGACTTCATGAATCGGAAGAATATTATGGTCGTGGCGGTGCATTCAACCAGGCTCAATGAAATCGTAGCCTATAGCGTTGGGATGGTGTTACAACGTTCTGATGACGTATCGCACCAGAAGTGGAGTTGGGGGCCTAGCATTCTTCATGCACCACTATGTTCAATACAGGACATCACCTGGCAGCCAGTCATTTCTTTTGGGTCAGACCACCTCTTCATAAGCAGACCGCCCAAGTTTATCATCATTGAACGTCGCTCTTTCCTTAACCATAGGAAAGCCAACTGGCAAGGATTCGGAGAGTTTACTAACCAGCGCTTCAGAGAATTTTGCATGCCTTGTGATGTACGGGTAGCAGAAAGAAAATTCCTTACAATTGCAACCGCTATATTTATACCTGCTGATGGAATATCCAAGATGAGAGCTAATTTCCCAGCAGAAGCAGTTGGTCTAGCAAATAAGCTCAGACGATCTAAACCAGCAAATCCAGGGTCAGGTAACTTACATTGGAGGTCAGCAGATTAGTCGTGGAGCATAAGCGGAATAAATGGTTGAAGCACCTGAAGAGTTGCAGCATCGGTACCGGTGTAAGTAAACTGTTGGCAACCGTTAAGTCTCTCTCGAACACTGGTAAAAAGGATAATGGGACCTCAGTCATATTTAACGACTAAACAGTGACTGATCCGAAGAGATGCGCCAGTTATTTTAACAGACAACTTGTCGATATCGGGCGAAAGGAATGTCCGATTTGAATCAAACTTTGCATAACCAATTATCTTTACCAAGCCTAGATCTTTGATAAAAACATATTCCTTATATAAAACGAGTAATAAAACCTGCGCATAATTCCGAAGATCTCTGAAACCATAGGCTAAGGGTATATATCTGTCAGCGATACTGACTGACACTTTTTTACTTCTTAAAGAATCATTTTTTGGGTTAGAGTGCTCAAATAAATATCCAAAGTTCGATATGTTTTTAGATTTTCAATACCTCCTCTGTTTAGCATACAAATAGCCGCCACTAGCACATCACATTCGGCCGGCCTTGTTGTTAGTTGAACAAAAATATTTTCCCAATTGAAGAATGACCTACATGTACGCCAACTGCATGGTTAAAACACAAGAATGTTCATCTTATGTTAAGTATTCAAACTTTTTTTTCAAATTCTAACAAAAATGTAACCCCCACCAGTCGATGTTGTTGTATTTTTCGAGAAATATTTCTACTCCCCCAACCTAAAAGTTTTGTATTTCTACACACCCAAGTACCCAATCTAGTACAAGTACCTAATGTAACAAAATTCTTATGCGCCTCGTTGCTTTTATAAACTATTAACCATTCCACAAAAAAAATGAAACTTTTTTTCTGAACTATTCGCATAATATAGCAGAAGCACCAGTAGAGGCAACTGCTGGATGGATGAATGGTGAAGTGGTAATGGGTGGAAGCTAGTTTATTTTTATAGTTCGTTTTTTAAGTGGAACTGCTGCCTTTGAAGACGAGGCAAAAAAGGCATTTATAAGGAAATTCTCATTTCAACTATGAACAATAATAAATTCTGCAGGATTAATGAGGCGAATGTTTAAAGTGGAATTATTATTCTAACATTCGTTAGAAATATGCCGAAGGGATGAAAGGACAAAAAACATTTAGGAGAGACAAAGGGTTTTTTGTCTGCTAATTTTTTCCTCTCTCTCAAAGCCGTGGCTATTTTGAGACGCATCAAATTTTTATAGCTTTGTTAAGGTTCTCACAAATTTCAACTTGGTTTTTTTCTTCTTAATAATTTTTCCGCCATAATCTGAAATTGAAACAGACTTCCATAGCCTCTAGGCGTGGATTTTTAAATAGAATTTTACCTCAGAGGCTTCCACAGCCTCTAGGCGTGAATTTTTTAAATAGAATTTTCTCGTAAGGGGCTTCCACAGGCTCCAGGCGTGGATTTTTTAAATAGAATTTTACCTCAGATGCTTCCACAGCCTCTAGGCGTGGATTTTTAAAATAGAATTTTCTCGTAAGAGGCTCCCACAGTCTCTAGGTGTGGATTTTTTAAATAGAATTTTCTAGTAAGAGGCTTCCACAGGTTTCAGGCGTGGATTTTTTAAATTGAATTTTACCTCAGAGGCTTCCACAGCCTCTAGTCGTGGATTTTTTTAATAGAATTTTCTCGTAAGAGGCTTCCACAGGCTCCAGGCGTGGATTTTTTAAAAAGAATTTTACCTCAGAGGCTTCCACAGCCTCTAGTCGTGGATTTTTTAAATAGAATTTTACCTCAGAAGCTTCCACAGCCTCTAGGCGTGGATTTTTAAAATAGAATTTTCTCGTAAGAGGCTTCCACAGTCTCGAGGCGTGGATTTTTTAAATAGAATTTTCTCGTAATAGGCTCCAGGCGTGGATTTTTTAAATAGAATTTTCTCGTAATAGGCTCCAGGCGTGGATTTTTAAAATAGAATTTTCTCGTAAGAGGCTTCCACAGTCTCGAGGCGTGGATTTTTTAAATAGTATTTTCTCGTAATAGGCTCCAGGCGTGGATTTTTTAAATAGAATTTTCTCGTAATAGGCTCCAGGCGTGGATTTTTTAAATAGAATTTTCTCGTAATAGGCTCCAGGCGTGGATTTTTTAAATAGAATTTTCTCGTAATAGGCTCCAGGCGTGGATTTTTTAAATAGAATTTTCTCGTAATAGGCTCCAGGCGTGGATTTTTTAAATAGAATTTTCTCGTAATAGGCTCCAGGCGTGGATTTTTTAAATAGAATTTTCTCGTAATAGGCTCCAGGCGTGGATTTTTTAAATAGAATTTTCTCGTAATAGGCTCCAGGCGTGGATTTTTTAAATAGAATTTTCTCGTAATAGGCTCCAGGCGTGGATTTTTTAAATAGAATTTTCTCGTAATAGGCTCCAGGCGTGGATTTTTTAAATAGAATTTTCTCGTAATAGGCTCCAGGCGTGGATTTTTTAAATAGAATTTTCTCGTAATAGGCTCCAGGCGTGGATTTTTTAAATAGAATTTTCTCGTAATAGGCTCCAGGCGTGGATTTTTTAAATAGAATTTTCTCGTAATAGGCTCCAGGCGTGGATTTTTTAAATAGAATTTTCTCGTAATAGGCTCCAGGCGTGGATTTTTTAAATAGAATTTTCTCGTAATAGGCTCCAGGCGTGGATTTTTTAAATAGAATTTTCTCGTAATAGGCTCCAGGCGTGGATTTTTTAAATAGAATTTTCTCGTAATAGGCTCCAGGCGTGGATTTTTTAAATAGAATTTTCTCGTAATAGGCTCCAGGCGTGGATTTTTTAAATAGAATTTTCTCGTAATAGGCTCCAGGCGTGGATTTTTTAAATAGAATTTTCTCGTAATAGGCTCCAGGCGTGGATTTTTTAAATAGAATTTTCTCGTAATAGGCTTCCACAGGCTCCAGGTGTGGATTGTTTAAATAGAATTTTACCTTAGAGGCTTCCACAGCCTCTAGGCGTGGATTTTTTAAATAGAATTTTACCTCAGAGGCTTCCACAGCCTCTAGGCATGGATTTTTTTTATTTATTTTCATAAAAAATGTTTCCGCATAATCTTCAAGTGAAATAAGGAAGCTTGTTTTACCACCCCCCTCCATAATTTATTTTTTCAGATTACTTTTAATTATCTCTCCAAACACACACATCCAATGATTTTTTATTTTTTTGAAACAGAAGTAACATTTGGGGAATTGAGTTCAGCTGCCGATAATTATTATGTCAACACAATTATCTAGACGATGCTACCAGGGCAGGCAGACAGTCAACCAAGCATCCCTCCAACCATTCCTCCAACCAACCAACAGCAACAGTAGCAACACCCATTGTCTATTGTATTAGGGTTTTACAAATTATGGAATATGTATTCCCAAACCCCCCATGGCGGCGTCAACTACAACAACCGCAACCACCTCCACCACCCAATTCCTCGGGCCTTAAAAATTGAAAATAGAATATTACTTGGATTCATAAGAATATTATGCTGCTGGAGTGTGTCAAAAAATAAAAACCCCTATGCCAAGAGGGTATTCATCATGAACCAGAACAGCAACAACATCAGCTCTTGCTTTTGGTGCCACAGCTTTTTGCTGATCTAGGACGCCCGCGAACGTAATCAAGTGATGTGAACAGAAGAAGGTTATCACAATTACTTTGTATGGCCGAACGACCGACCCCCCTTCCTGCTGTGACGACATGCGTCGCCTGCTCAATGTATGAGATTGTTTTTGTTGTTGTTGTTGTTGTTTTTTCTTATTTTTTATATTCTGCTTGGAACATAATGAAAACAACATCATCAACGTCAACTACTTTACCACAAAAAAAAAGACAGACAGACAGTCACACAGTCGACCTCATAAAATTCCACACTATTAAAGGAGACAACAACAAATTTAGTCATAAGCCCCCCAATACAACAACAGCAACAATATGAACAAGATGTGAAAACATAATGACAAAAAATTAAAATGCAAAAAGGTTTCAAAGCACACAAAGGATGAGGAAGGAGGATAGTAGCAGCACCTACACATATGGAATAATATGAAATTCCCCATTGATAATTGACAATAATAAACAAATGTGAATGATGGTGGGGGAGTTGTGGTCGGAGAGGTGAATGTGGAGATGGAGGAGGAGAAGGATAAAAGGAACACAGTTTACCTCAAACACAAAGAAAGTAATTTTAATTAGATCACGACCATCAGAGGCACAGGCTTTTGTTTTTCAAATAGAGGTAGACTTCTTCAAGTAAAATACGGTCCCAAAAGTATGATTACCCATGAATAGTTTTGCAAATACTATCGGAGCCAAAGTTATTGATTTTGTCAACCATGAGAGCATCAATGAGTGGCATAGAGGTAGATGACTCAAAAATATTTGTTTAACACTAGAACGCCGAAGACGGTCATTTTGACGGCTTTCCAATTTCAAGTACAAAATCAACTGTGCATTTAATGACACTATTTTTTAGAATTTGGTGACTTTTTGTACTTCATAGAATTACGTTTATTATAAAAAATTCACCAAATTTTCAAAAAAGTGTCATTAAATGCACAGTTGCTTTTGTACTTGAAATTGGAAAGCGGTCAAAATGACCGCCTTCGGCGTTCTAGTGTTAAGGATCACCAGAACCAAAGGAACTTCGGAACTTCCTATTCAGGCAATTTGGAATCGATTTACAAATTTTCGCCTCTGACCGGCCGATGCCCACAATAAAACTCGAAGGGGGTAACTGATTCCATCCAAATATTGTACATCTTAATATTTCTTCCAAATTTAGTTCAAGTTTCAAGATGGCGAATATCGGTCCTGAGAAGATTGGATTTATCGGTTCCCTCCTTCTTGTACCTCCACCACAAAGGGTGAAAATTTAAAATTTTTACTAATTCAATATTAAGCAAATGGAATGTCTGATTTGACCCACACTTTGCAAATTTCAACAGACAACAGCGAGATATTGTCGTCCTTTAACACAAATAGCAGCAGATATCGCCACCCAAAGTAAAAAATGTAAACACAAATCAAGGACCTAACCACTGTACAAAATTCAAGGAGTCTTTGTTTTTAGGCAACAATAGATGGCAGTCCCATAACGTAGGATAGGCTACACCAGACCAGGCATTTACTATTGAATAAAAAGAATAAACAAAAACGTCCATGAGGTGGACATTCAAAATACCTGCAATTGATCGAGGCTTCCAGGAGAAAAAGAAACACAATACTACAGACCGGAAATGAAGCGTGACGAATGCAAACGATGTATGAAATTCTAATTTTGAGGTTTTCTGTAATATGGGGGAATATTTTTTTTTTTCGGAATCGAATGAAAATCCAAAATATTAAATTACCGCCAATTTGGTTGGAAATGGTGACCAAAATACCTGACGAATACATACGATAGCAATGGACCGGTACAGTGCCCCCACACTCACTAAAAACTCTTCAAATGAGTAGAGTAACAACATTTAACCCGAAGTTTATGTTTGAGACAGATCGAAGTGCTGGAGGGAGGAATTTCCGATTAATTTTCCCGTGACAACTAGTCACAGTTGCAAATGTCGATAAAACATCCCTGACATCAGTGCAATTCTTACAAGCCAAAATTCCAAACCCTGGCGTAACTATTCTTTAAGGAACGGATTAGACAAGTTTCACGCTGATTTATTTGGGACTAACTTAAGTCCCAAATAAATCAAATCAAATGCATTTCTGCAATAAAACTCTAGCTAGCACTCCTCCGGCGAGTGTGGGCCGCCATTCTTCTTGGTTATATTCATAGACCTCCTCTGTTTCTCAATTAAATTCAATATTTTTTTACGTACTCCAATAAAGGATGATCCCAACAATTTTAACTGATACACAACCGAGTGTCTATCATTGTTATCCATTTGCCTTCTGGGATCATATGTCCAATATGTGGGCCAATTTCAAGGCCTTCGCAAATATTTCTCTATAGGATGACCCTTCAGTAATAGTTTCCGCAATCATACGGGTATTTTATATGCGTCTACGTCTTTGTGAATCGTGCTAGGAACATACAATTTCCTAGATTGTGCGAGACCTTCGCGGGTCCTATGTAAAAAGTCCGAAGTTTTTTTTTTTTTACCGGAAAATTGTCTGAGTTCTTTAAATATGGACTTACATCGAAAAATTTTTGTAAAACTAGTTTTCTTTCTCCAAAAACACAGAATGGGGCGGGACCATTATATGAGGGATGCGTTTGGACATGGAGCTGTATTCAAAAATTTCAACTGGAATATTTTCAACGGCCAAGACCCGAAATGTTTAATTGCATCCCCATGCTTCTATTGGTCATTGAAAAGTGTCCCTTAAAAAGTCCACGTTTCCATTGGTCCATGCAAAATATTCCTTTTAAAATCGGCGCTTTTATTGGTCCTTGAGAATTTCTTTAAAAATCCACGCTATTATTGGTCTGGGCTTCTATTGATCCTTGAGAAAAATTCATTAAAAATCTACGCTTCTATTGGCCTGGGCTTCTATTGATCCTTGAGGGAAAATTCATTAAAAAATCTACGCTTCTGTTGGTCTGGGCTTCTATTGATCCTTGAAAATCCACGCATTGTTTGAGCCATAAAAAGGTCTTTAAAAAATCCACACCTTGTGTGGGCCTAGAAAAATGTTCTCTAAAAAATCAACTCCTTATGTGGGCCTAGACAAATTTTCTTTAAAAAAATCCATGCCTCAGTTGGTCGAAGAAAAGAAAATTTTAAACAAGTGAAAAAAGCGGTAAAATTCGCCGGGCCGAACTATGGCCATAGATATACTGGCAGATACTTGAAATGAAAAAGTGAACCTATACCGATACTTCTACAAACCGATTTATGTAAACCACTATGTATACTAAATACAATTTTCAGCAAATTTTTAATGGGGATTTTTCATAAACTATGAAAACCCTAAAGCGTGGACTGATACTAATAACGCATGGTAGAGTATACAATCCTAAAACTACTGCAATTTAGAGTTATATGAGGCTATGCCTAAAGGGGGACCAATATTTATTACATAGTGTAGGAATTAGCGAATATTTGGGGATATCATTATATGAGGGCTATGGGCTAATTAATGACCGATATATGTCAATTCCTTCCTTCAGGAGGTATCATTACTTGGAGGAAATGCCTAAATGCCTACCGATATATTTCATTATCGTCAGGTTCGAGTTTTTTATCACCATATATTTAGAAGACTATCCCCCATACTATGGCAGAATACGCCTATATGAGGACAAAAATCGTCATAGAATTTTACTCCATACTATGGTGGAGGGTATAACAAAATACACGCGGACAGGCGTGTTTCGACTGTATATAATATCAGTAATTTCGGATTCAGATTCTACTCAAAAAATTAGATTGAACTTACTTAGCTTACGTGTGACAGAGCTTTCGTTCCATAAGCTGAGCTTGAAAAAGATTTCCAGGCGTGTCGGTCTTTTGCGCAGTTTTTCCAATTGGAAAGACCATCTTCGGCAATGTTGACTTCCACTTGATCTTTCCATATTTTTCGTGGCCTTCCCCTTCTGTTCACGCAGAAGGGGAAGGCAGGTTTGCATTTTGAACTGTAGCCAAAAATAGCTCAAATCTGGTAAGAGTAATGACTTTCCAATAAGGCTGCGACCAATAAAAAATGTGATAATGTGAGCCAAGTCATTCATTTATACAAAGCATGATTCACATGTATCCGATCTGCGCCTGTTTAAAATAGTGTATCTTTTACATAATTTTTTAAACAAAGATATTGTAAACTCTGTTCAAAGTATGGAGGATAAACAAAGGATAACAATTTATTCAAATTGAAAATATAAACATTAAACGAACCTGGATGAAATGACTCTATCATCATGACATCGTCGATGGAACTCACAATTCCTTTATATTTATCTCTATTGTCTTGTTGTTGTATTTTTTATATTGCTTTTACTTCATTATGCAGTTTCTAGAGAAAGCTATAAAGCTGAAAATATATTATGCATACGAAAAAAAAACAAAAAAGAAAATGAAAAAATTGTAATCTTATTTAACACATTGAACTAAATGACTTTGTAGCGCACACACACAATCACACTTAAAATTATTATGCAAATTTCTGGGTTTTTCCTTAATTCATTTATATAATCTGTTCCGCTCGAACAGTACATGATCATTTTGTTCTTGCTCTTCCTGATACAATTCTCCATTGCCAGTTCATGTTTGGCCGTGAATTCGGAACAGCAACAGGAATTTGCCGAAGAAGGATGGAATCGTGTGCCAGCGTCAATGCACAAACAAGTGCAGGACACCTTCCTCTGTTGTGGTTTCAATTCGACAAATACCACGGCTGACGAATCCTGTGAGGTGGTAAACAAACAATGCTGTGTCGGTTCCTACGATACCAATTGCCAGTGTCCACCATGTCTGCCCAAGTTGGAAGATAAAATCAATTATGTATTCAAATTGTGCGGTGGTTTGGGTATATTCTTTAGTTTTACAGAGGTAAGTAAAAATACAATTTATCAAAATTTAAAATAATTTACAAATGACTAATTATAATTAACGACATTTTGTATTTTTTCTTCCCCAAAATTTGCTACTAACAAATGGAATGACCTCATCAGTTCATTGGTGTTTGGTTAACCGTTCGCTATCGCAATCAAAAAGATCCACGTGGTTTGCCCAGTGCATTTCTTTAAATACACCAACTGAAACAAAGCAAAGCATAACACAATTCAATACGAAAAATAATGAAATGATTTATACGAATATGATTTACATTACATTAACTATATATAGACATACATACAAATTACATTATATAATCCATTTCACACTTTCCCATTTGCATCTAAAACCCCCTAACACCCCTCCTCCTTTTCTTGCCACATTAAAAATTGACCCAAATAATTCATGCTAGTCATAAAAGTAAAAAAAAAAAATGGAAATGGTGTTAACATATGGATAAACTCATAAAACAAAATGGTATTTATAAACAACTACAACAACAATAATATTAACAAAATGTAAAATATTTTCGATATTTTACAAATACACCACCATTACACATTCCATTAAATGTTTATAAAAAAAAAAAACAAAATGTAATTAAACAACAAAATGATTTTTGTAATAACACAACACCAAAGCCCACTCTCCCCCCATTCCTACATATATTACGATCTTAACCATGAAGAAAATTCCATTCTTACATACACACATTAACCAACCAACCTACATACATTCTATCACAATCTAATTATTTATTCTTCATTTACATAATTAAATATGCATTAATCATTGAAACATAATTACTTTTCTATATATAAAAAACATTATATACATCTATACTATTACATATATATACAAAACCCATTAAATAATATATACATTAATATAAGTACATACATCTACATTTATAACTATATTTAGAGACTTTTTAGTTATGTAAGCCGCCCTCCTAGTCATCAAAATCCCCAAAACTGTAGCTTACCCAATTAGCTGCTATTTATAAAAAACAGGCATCAATCAACAGACAACTCTACAGCCTTCGTTATAATCTTAAATCACAAACAAAATCCTAAAATATTTTCCCACAAAAATATATATTTTTGAAATTTTCTTTTTTTATTTTCTTTCTTTTTAACATATCCACAAGAAAAGGGTTTCATTCCAAAAAAATATACCTAAATCATCCTCATCATTATTATAAACTATAACCAATATCCGTTCCATTCAAATACCTTCACTTTTATGGCCTACTACGAATAGAGAATTACATACAAGAAAAATACATTTCCACATAACCGGAGAGTCATAAAACATTGGGTGAGAACAATTAATTAATTTTGATTGTTTATTTTTTTGGTTCAACGTTTTTTAATAGTTCTTTCGTTTTTTTGCGTATACACTTTTTATTTATTTATTTAAAAAAAAAAAAAAATGCAATTTGAAGCCTCGAAGGCTTTCTAAAGATTCTTTTTAAAAATTGTATTTTTTATGATCTACCACAGGTTGGAGAACTTCAAGAGGATTTGTATAGGCTAAATTACGTCTAGATGTCTCCCATAGGGATGACTTTCTAGACTGGCACGATATCCACTAAGAATCCGTCAAAAAGTGATGATCTACCAAGGGTATTTCAAAGACGTAAAGTTTTTAAAATACCTTAAAATGATTTCTAAAGGAGATCTTCAAGACGTCTTCTGAAGATTCTCTAGAGGTCTGGAAAGATCTTTTTTTCAATTGATAGAAGACATTCAAGACGTGTCCTTTTAGGAAATCTTTCAATATATTTTCATTGTTGGGCCACTAAATTCGATGCTTTTGCCTGTGTTGGCCCAATAATGTCATCAGACAATATACTGATGGACCTCGAGAAATATTTAAAAAAATCAAAGCTCTATTGTATTTTAAACATTTTTGGGACCAAAAATATATATTCCGGAATTTTGGAAAATGTTCCATCAATAGTTGCTGTAATTTAGTGGTTTACACAATTTCCTTGGAATACATTATTGATATATTCAACGATCTCGCCTATATAATGCGCTTCAATGTTATTTGTTGAGGTATAGTAAAGATCCAAATGGGGTTTGAAACTTTATTTATAATAAGAGGCGTGGATTTTTAAAGAATATTTTCCTGGAGGTCGCGAGAGGCGTGGACTTTTAAATAATATTTTCCAGGATGCCGCGAGAGGCGGGGATTTTTAAAGAATCTTTTTCCGAGGGCCGCGAAATGCGTGGATTTTTAAAGAATATTTTTCTGTGGTCTAATGCCAGCATGGATTGTTTTAATTTAATGAAGTCCCACGGTATTGGAAACTATACTATGTGAGACCACAACAAAATCAACGAAATTGTGGAGTTTCTAACCCAATGAAAAATTTTGACCAGCAACTGCTGCTAGTCTGAAGACCGCATCCTTTTCACTGCTACAGAGTGGAGATATGTTTTAGTCCTCAGTAATACAGAAGCCATTTATATCGGCACTGCTGCCGCGAGGGCATCCTACTTTGATGCTTGGACTTATCCAGACCTGTTTCACTTTCGTAACCTGGATATTAACACTTTGTGGATTGTTAGTGTGGCTTGTTTTTCGACTTCTCACAGGACATTTACGGGCTCTCCTACCTTATAATCTAGACAGGCTCTTGTCTTCCTTCCAAAAAGTTGATGGTACTATGGACCTCTTTTCATCCAGTTAGTTATTTTTGAGTTAAAATCGCCGACTCAATTTTTCAATTATTAAGTCTCTCTCTATGTTCATCGGATAGGTTCTGGTGAACTTTGTGATTAGCTTGAGATTCTTCTTGATTAAAAATAATTCCTTGTCCGTAACGATAGCCGTATTCCCGTCGACAAATCGGCAGCAGAAATGTATCGCCCTCCGGTATATTTTGTGTCGGATCCTTCTTTTTGGTTTAGTCGCTGGTGAATCACAAAAACCAGCTGTCTACGTGGAATTGGATTTTTCAAACAACAAAGCAAAGAGAAAGAAAAGAGAGAGTAGAAGAGCAAGGAGAAAAGATAGCGAGAAAAGAAGAGCGGAGAAATGGTTATTTCAGCCATGTCAGATTTTTGACAAAGCCTAGGATCTGGTTAGGATCTATTTTAGAGAAGAAGGCTAGATTATCAACTTCATATCTTCCAAACTGTTTATGTATTCTGCCAGTCAGCGATGGACATCTACAGAGGATATGTTCAATTGTTTCTAGCTCCTCTTCGTCCTCACAAAGATGACAGTAATCCTCTCCATTGGAGTTCCATTTCGAAGTGAGGAATCTAATCTTGCAGTGACCTGTTATGATCCCCACAATGATTCTGATCTCTCTTTTATTATGTACCAGCAGCGAAGGCGTTCTTTTGCGAGAGAATTCAGGCCAGATAGATTTTGAGATTCTGCAAACAGGTTATCTCAACCATCTGTTGCCGACTATCTCGCAGTAGAACAAGCGAATATTACCAATGAAATAGCCAATGGGTGGTTTCACAGATCTCTCAATCAGAAGATTGGACGAGCAAGCTCGTCGGCTATCTTACTCCATTCAATGCCACTATGTCCTAGAACTCAACATAAGCTAATTATCTGTCGTATATCATTTAGAACTGCTTTTGAGTTTACAGTACACGACTTCACCGCCTTAAGGGCCGACTGACTATCGACATATATAGTCACCGGTCCCGTAATGTCGGCAGTAAGTGATTTTACTATCTCGTCCGCTTTCGTGATTGCAAGGATTTCTGCTTGAAAACTGCTACAAATATTGTTAAGTTTATATGTGTTATATGTTTTTAATTCCCTACAGTAAACGCCTGCACCAGGTCCGTGATAGTATTAGCGGTTAATGTCGCTGAGGGAAAATTGGTAGTTGGAAGGATACTCATAAAATTCCGGACTGAGTGTGTCAGGGAAATTACAGGAGTATAAATCAAAATTGTAGTTAATTAATTTAATTTCAGAAGGGTGGTTTGTCTTCTGGATCCCTAAGCCGACCATGGCTTAGGATCTTACAAGGCCTCAACCTGTGGCCGAAAAAAACGTATATTTTCGTCCAAAAACCAAACTGGAAAATAAAGAAGTTCTTGACCGATTTCAACAATCTTAGTTCATACGATAACAATGTAGGTCCAGAATATGTGTTAAAAGTTGGAACCGATTGAATTAATAGTTTTTGAGTTATATTGCCCGCCAATCGTAAAAATACTGTTTCGGAAAAAAGCGTTTTACACAAAAAAACAATCTCGAAGCTTGAAATGAATTGAAGATGTGCATGTGTTTTTCTCAACCGGTGGGGTTTGCGAATGTATGTGTACAAGCGTGCGACGGTAGATCAGACAGGTCTGACAGCATTCATACAGATCCAATAATCCACGCTGTCGATCAATATCATATAAATGTTATACTTCTCCAAGACACTTATTTAACCTTCGTGATATATATAATCGGCCAACCACTACATTTGAAACTACAGAGTTATCATCGACAATTTGTAGTTCACATTGACCAGTGAGTTCTGATATAGTCTTCACATTGATATTTTCACAATTCTTTCTGAGATTTCTAAAGGGTTAAAAAAATAATGATCCAAAAGCAACACTTTTCAGTTACTTTCCAGTTCCAGAGTGGTTCCAGAGCTTACCTATTACATTTTTTACCAGTGTAAATGAAGGTCACTTTTCAAGACTATATGGTTTACTCAAGCAAAGAGACCGATACTACTGTTACCGGTTGTCTCTACTAAATTCTATCAGTTGTCAGTCTGGAAAGGAAATGTGATCGACAGAAAAATAAATATCGTGAATCTACTAGAAAAAAATTCAAAATTTTTACGTGGTCTTGCTGATTTTGGTTTACCTGCATAAATCAATGTATCATACATATTGGATTTGGATACTGTTCAAGATATTTCGGTTCATTTATGTTTTACATTTATTATTTTTTATTTATTAAGTTTTAAACATTTATTTATTATTTTTGTGTATACATGTTTTATGTTTACTAATTATAATGTTCATATTATTTTTTAATTTATTCAATTAAAAATTGTTGATATTTTTATTAATCTGCCTATTTTTCATCTTGCAGGTACTTGCTGTATTTTTAGCCCGTCGCTATCGCAATCAAAATGATCCTGACTATCTGCCAGCACGTGCAGTGTTCCCACATAATTATATTTACTAATGCTGAACAAAATATTTAGCCGATCATTGTTTGTTTTTACTATTCTTAGTGGAATCTCTACTTCATTTCTGAACTACAACAACCACAACAAAGCAAAACACTGTTAAGAAATTTAAGATTTTTCACTACAAATAGAGATACTAACACACAAAAAATTGAACAAATTAAAGAAAATTAGGCAACTATATTAATAAAATGAAAAACAGAAAAACAACAACATCAAGAAATCATGTTAATAGTCATAGTTTGTTTTTTATTTTAGTTTAATTGTATATTATTATTTTTAAATTTATTTTTTTAATTTTAATTAATTGAAATTTTATACATATGTTTTATTATATTTTAAATGATGTCCACCTTTACTATGTCTTTAATTTATGATAATATATTTTTTTGTCATTATTAGTCAAAATGGGACGAAGGCTGATTATGTTTTTTTGCTCATGTTTAATTTTTTTTTTGTATTAAGTAAGAAAATGTAATATTGTACACAATTAATATCTTTTAAATTTAATGGTCTATTGCCGTACTGCAAGAATCTACTACCTTTTACAACGGTAACAAAATGTTCCTTTATGATATCGAACAAATTAGTTAAAATTAGTAGATTCTTACAGTACTGCAACAGACCAAATATAATTTTCGCTAAAATCATAGTCATCATATACAAAAGTCAGTGTACAATTTTGAAAGAATGAACAAAACCAAAAACAACTGTTTTAAGTACATGTATCTTGAGATTATTTTAAATGTAGTTTTATTTTTTAGAACAAAAATATGCAGTTTTGAAACAATTGTCAAAGAAATTGCAGTACTCTTTTTTGTAATATTTCTTTAGTTTTGTAATTATTCCTTGTATAATTATTGATTGCAAATTGTATAGAAAATTATATATTTTGAATTAATTATTTTTAGGGCTGTGTGTTAAATATATAAATTTAAACAAAAAAATATGTATGAATGTATTCTTTGGTATTTAACAAAATTTTAAATCTATAGGCGACAACGCCTATAACAATATTATTTAAAACGACTTTGTTGGTTTGAACGTCCAAATTCAAAATATTTGGATAGAATATTGTAAAGTAGTTTTACAACATACATTTTATAATGGCGGTATTCAAAATCCGTAAAAAGCTCTGGCCTTTATTTGATATAGCGATCAATATTATCAGTCCATTGACTGTCACCAGAAGCGATTTCGACTGTATATACTCGGCTGAAATTTTGTGGCTAATATATCTAAAACTCTTATTGTATAAGGAAGAAAAATTGTGGGTCACTAAATCGACATCCGAATATCAACCACTATATACAAATCTTAATTAATTTTATTAATTTTCGATATCATATTTTAGAGAGGTGCTCAAAGGCATAAATCTTTTTAAATTGCAAGGTCTTAATGTAGTTTTCATTTGAAATTGTATATGAGAAGGTGAATGTCCTTCTTCCATCTGGACAATAGAAAACTAATTGGACCTCATTTAAATAATATGAGGCCCAATTTCTAATGGGATGCGACTACTAATACTCGCAAATAATGTGGACTAGGATATGGATCATGGGTTGAATTATGATTGCGTATTTTATTTTAATTATACTTTGATGAAATGTTATGACGAGGGCTCATTGTTTTACACCTCATGATTATTTGTGTTATTATGGTTCTGACTTTAACTCCAACTTCAAAAAAAGGCTGCATTCTTTACCGATTGTGACCAAAGTGAAGATGTGTTAGGTGAGTGGGTTCAACTGGGCACTTGAAGAGGTGTAGCGTGTCATGTGGATCATTATCAAATGCCGCCTTGATATTTTACCCCGAATCATAACTTCGTACCCAATTCGAATTGATATGTCTACATCTGATTTGTGTCTACTGTTGGTTTCTGGATGGAATCAGATGTTGGATACGGGAATGAATGTGAATAATGTGCGGGCCTTGTCTGCAAGTGAGACAAATGTCCTTGATCCCAGCGACTATCGCTTGATACACATTCAAGATGACTCACCATCCTGACCGAAGCTGCGATAATATAGTTCTGGTTCTTCTGGGCAGGGTCTTCTCCCCTTTGGCTACCGCTGTAGGTTGACAGTTAGGGACACAGGTTGATTCGTGCTCATTGACAACTTGTTGGAATGTCTGAGTGTGAACAGTTCTCAGCAATGCAGCTAGTGACAATCGCCAATGTCAGATGCAATGACTTCGGATGTGTCGAGGGGATGGATCCTGAAAACTATATGATGGTTGGGATGCGTGGGCATATGGCATGCCAGAAGGAACTGTCTGGTGAGCAACTGAAAGTAACCATGCCTCCTGATACAGGTGATCCACACTTGAAGGTGACACCACTATCGAAGGTGACACCTAGTATTCTAGGATTCTGGACCGTTGGAATTGTCATACCTCTGATCGATATGTTTAGTTGTCGCTTGACCTCCTTATGTAAATATAGTGACAGTTGCTTTAAATGGGGAAATCTGCAAGTTTCTACCCTGAAAAAAAATGTGACTACCGATGACAAATAGGAGTTGATTTTGTCTTCGATCTCTACTACATCTACTTCCAGAGGCAATGATCGAACAATCGTCAACATACGTGACAAGTTTAATACCATCTGGGGGGAGGGCACTTTAGAAATGTCGGATTGCTTCGTCAACAGCGTCTGTGTGAATACGATATAATCCTGCCTGATTTCTTCTTGCCGTGTCTAGGTGGTGGATGCCAATCGATAAGGTGGTAGTTCGTATGACTGATTTGTAACACCGAAACAGATATTGCACCGACAGATATTCATCTCCTCATGTAAATGGTCTATGGGAGTCATGAAGAGACAACCTGTTGCAGTCATCAGGCGGTATTTTTGTTGTAATGTTATTCGTCTTAATCGGAACGGATTTGATTACAGCTCCATTTCGATTTCATGTAAATGGTACACCAATGGAACCACATGAGTCCGATCAATATCAAATTTTGCAAATGCCACTTCATTATGTGCAGAATGACAGAAATCAAGTATAGCTATAATCCTTTCCGATTTAAATTGCGCTTCAATATTGCATTTTATATGCATTATCAACCGATCAACAGAAAATTTGGTGTATGCGACCGAATTGTTTATCTAATTTGACATGATACTTACTAATCGGTAATTTTTTTTTTTGCCTAGACACCAATAACAGCTTCTTTATGCCTTTAAAGTCGTGCAGGAATTGTAATTTTTTAATTCAGGTAGCACGAAATTTTTGCAGTAAATATTCAATATTGGTTCATATTTTTTAACGGTCCTAGACGAATTCTACAACTGGAGTGATTGTAAGTGGTAATTTCGGTTGCTCTGAGGATAAAATACCACCAGACTGAAAATATTGAGGTTTATGTTTTAATATAGTCCCAATATGTAGGGACTGCTCAATTTTCGGTATATTGAAATTCGCAAATGATTGGGATTTGGCGGAGAGCAATCGAACTTGAAGCCATATCCAAAGTTTCAAATTGTCAGTTAGTTTATATTTTTCCAGCATACAGCCCTAAAACCAACTTTTCATAACAATCAAATACTAAAAACCCCTTCAACATGTTCGATCACGAAAAAACCAGCAACAACATAATACAATCATTAACTCACCTATACCAGCAAAACAATATATTATATAATCAATCGTTGAAATAAAATATTTGGAGAACCTAAAAGAAATAAAACAACAAATTTAAATGTTGCATGAAATTTATGAGATTATGTGTAAAAAATATATGAAAATTAAAATTGAAATATTAAGCAACAACAACAAAAAAATATTTAATGTTCACAAAAACCAAAAACAGAGATTCACAGAAACCCGATCTATATCTACAAACTGTCTATATACAAAAACATATATAAATATATATACAACCCAATTCTGCATAAAAAATAATAGAAACTCTACTACCTACCTACCTATATCCAAAACAACTGTTTCTATGTATTTTCAAAACCAAAAAACACCTATTTAAGAAAACCAAACTGTAATCTGTAACCAAGGAAAAAAATTCAAAAACAAAAAATCAAAAAAAAAAAAAATTAAGAACTGTAGTTGATGTTATTGATAATGTTGAAATGAAAAAAATGATTTTGTATTTGAAAAAAAATTAAAATAAAAAACATGTAGCTTGTTAGTATAGTTTTCCGGTATGAATAATATAAAAAAATCATTTCCATTGTATCCCATATTAATCTATGAATCTGTTCCCAATACTCACTCTCAACTACTATACATTTTCAATTTCAAAATTTTTGTTTTTTGTACTCTCCTTATACTTAATTTACTTTTTATTGAACATCGATTTCGTTTCCAAATTTCATGAAAATAATCTCTGTATTCTGTGCTGTGATTGAAATAAAAAATAAACATCTTTAAAAAACAACTACAAAACAATCCGTAGTTTGATTTTTGTTTTTTCAAGGCCTATCAGAGGATTGATTTTTAAAGAATACTTTTGAGAAGCCCTCAACGAAGGCGTGGATTTTTTTAAAGAAGACTTTTTGAGAAGCCCTCAACAAAGGCGTGGACTTTTATACCCTTTACCACACTGTGGTAACAGACAAAAGGAAACGAGATAGATCCATGGTTCCTTTTTAGAATAGGCATAGAATCACTTTCTGAGTCGATTTATGCATGTCCGTCCGACCGTCTGTCCATGTTAAATTGTAAACAAAGTGCAGGTCGCATTTATTATCCGAATAAGATGGAATTTGGCACAGATCATTTATTTGGCCCAGGGACGAACCCGATTGAAATTGGGAAAAATCGGTTCAGATTTAGATATAGCTCCCATATATATTTTCGTCCGATTTTTAGCAAATGGTGCACCAAAGAGTCAAATTTAGGTCGATTGGCACCAAATTTTGCATAACGTACTGAAGTTAGGATAGACTAACGTGTGCCAAGTGTCATTGAAATCGGTTCAGATTTAGATATAACTCCTATATATATATGTTCGTCCGATTTTAAGCAAATGG